GTTCTGCATCTCTGTTATTAGAGTGGTTTATTTAAAACATCTTGAGGTTGTCCAGGATAAAAAGCCATCTTACAGATCACTAAATCCTGAAGTCATGTTCTTTCCTTGCCTCATAGGAGCTTCCAGACCTTTCTGAGGGTCTTGGGGCAGCCTTGATCTTAGCAATCCCACCACCATGTCATCTCATTCTTTTAGAAGAGGCTGAGATAGCAAAGGCTGTTACACACACTGTCCTGACTTGAAAAGGAAGAAACCCCCACAAAGCAAGCAGCAACTCCATGATTGATGCAAAGCCTAATCAGGAATGGAGGACTGGCATTAGCAGTGGAAAATGTATTCCTGAATGAACAGGGCTAAACCTGTCACCATTCCAAAGTCCTGCCCTCCCTGCCCAGCCGGCTCACTCCCCACACACTCACACTGCCTGGCTCTCCCTGCAGCTGCTGCTGAGGCTCCAGCATATGCCTTCAGCTTTGCTTCTCCATATGGATCTCTCTAGCCCCAGTTATCTTGGCACCTGGACACCAAATTCTAGGGAATACATAGTGCAGGGGGTCTCCCTCGAATGTGTCACTAGCGTGTGTGGAGTCTCTGAAGCTGGATTCTAGCAAGGCAAGGTCTCCTCTGTGTGCTGAATTTTCTTGGAGTGAAAGGCAAAGCACCCCTGTACCTCCAGAGCTTTGCCTCACTAATTCATTTGGAAAGTCCTTATGCTTTTTCCAGGCGCTTGTCCAATCTTTTTTGGCTGCTGCTTCTGCTTCAGTACAAGTTTTGCTTCTTATTTGTTTGCAGTAGCCTGAATTTTTAATGGCTGTAGGGATGCTGCACAGAAGCCTTTATTTGGTTACAAGGAAGCTGTGCAGTAAGGCTGCTCAGCTCTTCATTTCTGTGGCAGAGAGAGCCCTATGAGAGGCTGTTGCACTGCATTGAAATCAGTCAGGATCTGTCATGACCTTGTGACCGAGGTGTCCTGGATCCTCATTGTGAGAGCACTCAGACTGAACAATGCCTTCAAGGAAGGTCTTCAGTCCTGCAGAGCTTCCACCTGGATTTCCAACCACACACTGCTAAGGAAAGCACCATGAGACAGAGCAGGACAGCTCTCCAGCCACTGTTGTTTTAAGACTGTCCTCCTTAGACCATGTGCTGGCACTGCTGAGGATGATTGTCACTCCACTTGGTCAGTCTCCAAAAGGAAAGGGGCTGGCACTGCTCAGGGTCATTGTCACTCCATTTGGGCAGTCTCCAAAGGAGTTCCCCCAGGGTGTGATGCCCATGTCATGTAATCTTCCCACCTTCCACTCCATTTCTGCTGGGATAATTGGGGGAATCCCGGGACTGGGGGGAGGATTTTGGTCTCTTCCTGCTCATACCACATCTGCATGGCCCTCAGGAAAGTGACAGGAGTGTGGCCTTTAAGGGTAATATCTACAGCTTCAGGGTCTGTGTGTGTGTGTGTAGCTCCTGGGAAAAAGGGAACAGGGACAGCCCATCTCAGAGTTGCTCTTTTGTCCCTGCTAGGGGACCTCTATAGAGGTATTTAAGGGCAACTCTCAGGTATTAGTGAAGGGTGTGAGAGAGGGTGGTGAGTTGGACAAGTGAAATGCAGGTGCAAAATCACGTAGTCCATTGTGCAGCCTGATTTAGGAAAAGTGCCTATTTTTACTCCAGCTTTTCAGTAGGAATGTGGTCCCTAAAGACCTTCTTCCCAGGAACCCTCCCTTTAACAATCAGCTAATTAATGGCCTTGTTATCTGTCAGCTTTCTCCTGTGTGTGCACAGCTCCTGGAGGAGGGTTGCAGCCAAAGAATGACAACGTTTCCCACCCTCCTCACCCCCACCACGTGCTGGGCTTCTTGCCATCCCCAATTAAGCTCCAGTGCCTTGCCTTGTGTTATCATGGAAAGCAGGACCAAAGGGCCACCGAGAGTCACTGTTCCCTCCCTGCCTCTATTGCACTGACAGATGTCTGGCCTGAAAACAGCACGGGCCTATCTCTGTCAGGGTTTTTACTGGCCAGCGATTAAGTCTCTGCAGTTTTTAAGCCAAGTGAGAAAAAGACAATGCTATAGATTGTCACCGGTGCTGACAGGAAGGAGTGTGGATTGGGATGTGCTTTCCTGACCTCCTTCAGTGCTGAGAAAGTTCTTTATTTAGATTTGTTCTTCCTAAGAAACTGCCTCTTCCTGTGGTGGAGGAGCACGTATGTGGTAAACATGTGGAGGTGGAAGCCTGTAGGTAACAGAGGGAACATCCCTGCTGGAATCCATGTTCTCCATGGAGACTCTGGTTGTGGGATGCCCCAAAGCTGGTCAGAAAGAAGACAGAACATGTCAGCTGGAGTGAAATCATTTTAGGATTATGGACATTCAAGTAACTCCTTGTAATTTCTGACCTTCAGCCCCAGACCGAGAGAGTTGGGCTTCTTCAGCCTGGAGAAGAGAAGGCTCTAGGTAGACCTTCCATTGTCTAAAGGGATACAAGGGAGCTGGAGAGGGACTTTGGACAAGGGCCTGGAGTGATGGGACAAGGAGGAATGGCGTCCCACTGCGAAAGGGCAATGGGATATTGGGAGGCAGTTGTTCCCTGTGAGGGTGTGAGGCACTGGCACAGGTTGCCCAGAGAAGCTGTGGCTTGACCCACCCTGACAGTGTCCAAGACCAGGTTGGTTGGGGCTTGGAGCAGCCTGGTCTAGTGGAAGATGTCCTTGCCCATGACAGGGGATTTGGAACTAGCCGGTCTTTAAGATCCCTTTCAACCCAAACCATTCTGTGATTTCCCTGCAGGACTATGTAAACCCTCAGAATCAGGGAAGGAAATCTGCTTAGAGTGAAGAGTTGCTTGAGATATTCTGTGTCTTTTACTTTGGCTGCTGTTTTTCAGACAGACTTCCAGGGCCAGTTGTTCTGCCCAAACCCAGAGGAGCTTTACAGTGAGAAATGATCAGGTCTTGTGTTGGGATTTGAGCTTGCCAATGGTAGAAGCTGGGAGTTGATGCAGCCTGTGCTTTGTTTTTGCTTCCTGCTTGTATCAGGTGTGTGATAATAGCAAAGTGAGAGAAGTCTGGACTGTATGTAGTGTAGTTCTCCTTGCTGCTGGGCACAGAGCTCAGTTTGGGTGCATGGATGTTATGTAGAGTTAACTAGAAACTCAACACAGTCTTTCAGGGCATTCTTGATGCTACCTTTCACCAGGATCTTGGAGAGAGAGCCCCCAGGAACTCTCTGAGGAGATGTGATCACACCATGCTCAAATGTTTGAAGGAGGTTGGGTTTTCAAAGCTTACAAGTGCCTGTTTCCGGTGACCCATAGGAATGACAATGCTTTCCATTACTATGAGCAGTTTCCCACCTGGGGAAGGAAAGCCTGGGTGATTCCAATTCCAGACATCACAATTCTGCTCCTGCTTCATTGGAAGTCTGCCTTAAATGAGGACTTCTAGTGAACCTTGTCCACAGTTTCTTTTACAGGATGCGTTCGCCTCACATGTTCATTAACAAATAAATTTTGAGCATTTTTTTGATTCTTTTATTCTGATAATTCATCTCGTAATGTAAGACTTGCTGTTGTGCCTCCTTTTGCTTCTTGCCTGCAACAACTTTGCTTTCTGTTCTTTCTCAAATGGTTCAGCACCCCCAGGAATCATAGAATATCCTAAGTTGGAAGGATCCCACAAGGACCATTGAGTCCAACTCCTTGGCCCTGCACAGGACACCGTGTGCCTGAGGGCATTGTTCAAATGCTGTTTGAGCTTGGGAAGCAAGGAAACAACAGGGATTCTAAGGAAAAAATAAAAATTCTCATGGTGATTAAACTCACCTGCTGCCTGATCAATGGAGTGACATGTATAGGAAAGACTTGATGGTTCCGGCATGAACTGTGCCTTTCTGCCCTTTACTCTGTGGGTCAGTGAAGAATATAATGGTTAATAAAAACATACCCAGGCCCACTTCTCCTGTTGGCCAAGTGGTCGCTGGGTTTTAACACAGCTTTGCTAGTCTTGTGAATGTGTTATCTGCTTACAGAGCGCAATCGGCTTATGAAAGCTGAGCTGGTTGTGCTGACGCAAGGTCTATGCAGCTCCAACTTGCTGCAAGTGGTTGGGGCCTCAGAAACCAGGGGACCTGAGAACCATGGGATGTTGAAACTGCCAAAAAGCTTTTGGCCTCATGGAACAGAGAAGGCACTATTTCATTTCCTGGATGCCTTCATTTCATGCATGGAATTGGTCTCTACCTTTTGTGTCTGGAAGTCTCCTTGGAGAGGCTGTGTCTCAGCCAGTGTCTGCATTTCTCTTCTATCTTCACCAGTTTCACTCATGTTTCATGTGATTGCTTCTGATTTGTAGTTTACTTCCCCCTTTTCTCATTCTTTCACTTATTTTCTTCTTCACCTTTCTCCTCATCCCTTATTCGTCCTTATCACCTTCCTGCATTTACTTACAGACCTCTCTGTCACTCCTACCATTGCTGTGTGTTTTTGCTCACCACCTCCCTTTTCTCATCATCCCTTCATTTTGCCTCTTCAAATTCACTTTATTCCTAAAACCCAAGGGAAAATCAAGCTTTTGTGGAGAATTAGAGAGGGAAGAACCTAAAACATGGTGACTTAGCTGTATCAGCAGGGAAGGGAAAGCTCTAGGAGCCTTTGAAGGTAAAGCTGCCACAGTTCTGCCAGGTTCCTACAATATGTTTGCTGTTAAGTTCAACTTCTCAGCATGTCCAAATAATCTGTCTCCAAAAAAGGATCATAAGTTGTAATCAAACCATATTTGACAGGAAAAACTCACCAAACAGGGATATCAGCTCTGCTTCTAAGAGTACTGTGCGCCCTGTGGCATGATATAAATGAGAAGGTGACACATTCTGAACAAACAAGTCCTTAATGGGACGAGTTATATTTCTGGGAGCAAATCTTTTAAAGGCTTTCCTGTGTTAAAAGATACTTCAGAGGTTTTCCATGGAAACATATTTGACAGGAAAAACTCACCAAACAGGGATATCAGCTCTGCTTCTAAGAGTACTGTGCGCCCTGTGGCATGATATAAATGAGAAGGTGACACATTCTGAACAAACAAGTCCTTAATGGGACGAGTTATATTTCTGGGAGCAAATCTTTTAAAGGCTTTCCTGTGTTAAAAGATACTTCAGAGGTTTTCCATGGAAATGAAGGGCCATAAGGGCATGC